TTTGTGTATGGCTGTGTAACCAGGAATGGCATAGACATCAGTAGTATCAGGCTTTAGCCAGGTTTCAGTTAGTGTAATGATGGACATATTGGCATGCAAGGAATTTAGTAATGCTATGAGGTCATCGTAATGTTTGCTTAAAGATCTGATATTGTAGTTAAAGACAGTTATGTTGTTGTTGGCTCTGAGGAGTGCCTTTGATTGTTCTGCTGTGTAGTAATTACAGTAACTGTTTGATTCATTTAAGTCATTAAATAAGAGGTTGGTATCAGGATCAATGCTTGTAATCATAAGATTTGTAGTGAATCTATAGTTAGAATTAAGTATAAAACAAAGTAAATATTCTAAAGCTAAACAATAGCACCTGAATTATTTAACAAATGTAAAAATAATGAGCTAAGGTAGTTTTTTAAAACTAAAATAAAGGAGACAATATAAAAGGGACTAAAATAATTTGTGGTGAACAAATAAAGTGATGATCAAATAATGGAGCTTGGGAATATGATAGTAGGTAGTACTTTAAAGGTAATTCTTTAAAGTTAGAATTAGGGAAAACATTATAAAAGGGACTAATATAAGTTGTGGTGAACAATAAAGTGGTAATCAAATAAATGAGTTTTGGAATATAATGGCAAAATAGTGAACTTATTACACTTTAGCACCTGAGAATAGCACCTTGATTATTTTAACAATTTTCTGAAAATAGTTGCTTATATCTCACCCTAACTTCCTCCTCCCTTAGTTTATAAACTTGCACCTCTCTCTTACTTACTGTTGCTATTTTCCTTTTGTCCTGTCTACCTCTAACTGCAGCTACAACAAGATAATGATCCAATATATCCATTGCCCCTCTATAAACATGTACATCCTGAAGCCTACCCATTGACCTTTTATCCACCAATACATAATCTAACAAACTACTTTCATTATGTGCTATATCATATTTTGCATAGTTATTTATCCTCTTTTTCATAAAATATGTATTACTTATTACCAAACCTCTTTCCACCCACCCACACCCACCCCACACCCACACCCACACCCACACACACACAGTCTAGCAAGTGATGTAGTGGAGGCAGGAACCATACATAGCTTAAAGACATGGTATGATAAAGCTCATGGAGCAGGGAGAGAGAGGACCTAGTAGCATTTAGTGAAGAGGCAGGGCCAGGAGCTGAGTCTTGACCCCTGCAACCACAATTAGGTGAGTAAAATTAGGTGAGTACACACAGAGGAGGCCAAGGCAAGAGTATGATTTATTTATTTATTTATTTATTTATTTATTTATTAACAATTTGAGCACACATACAGAGGTACAAAAAAATACAGATAAGAGCAGCATGCCAAAGCCACTTATACTATGCATAGCATTATGGGCTGGCTTAAAATTAACTTAAGATTAACTAAGCAATGATGAAATCAGTGATGAAACATTAATGTAAACAGATTACTATAAAGCACAAGTGAGTATTATGATGAGAGTAACAGAGCGATGGTTGACACACTGGCTGAAGTGGCCAGAAGGGCTCATGCAAGCAGGGCAAAGCTACTGATTGTGGTTGACTTCAATCACAAAGAAATTGACTGGGAAAACTTGGAGCCACAAAAGGGCCCAAAAACGTGGAGGGCTAAGATGATGGAGGTGGTAATGGAGAAAATCATGTACCAACATGTAAGGGACACTACCAGAGAGAGAGAGGGGAGGGGATGAACCAGCAAGACTGAATCTAGTATTCACCTTAAGTAGTGCAAATATTGAGGACATATGAAAGACCTCTCGGGGCCAGTGACCACATGGTTCTGAGCTTCAAATACACAGTAGAGTTACAAGTCGAGAGAGAAGCAGGAAGGACAGAATGAATGAAGCCAAACTACAAAAAAGGGGACTACAGAGACATGAAGAATTTCCTGCATTAGGTTCAGTGGGACAGAGCACTGCCAGGGAACTCAGTAAACAAGATGATGGAACATGTGACAACAATATGCAAGGAAGCTGAAGAGAGGTTTGTACCCAAGGGTAACAGAAATAACGAGAAGGCCGGGATGAGCCCTTGGTCCACTCAAAGGTGTAGAGAGGCCAAAACAAAGTGTGCTAGAGAATGGAAGAAGTACAGAAGGCAAAGGACCCAGGAGAATAAGGAGACCAGTCGTAGAGCAAGAAATGAACATACACAGGTAAGAGGGAGGCCCAATAACAATACGAAAATGACACAGCAGCGAAAGCCAAATCTGACCCGAAGCTGTTGTACAGCCACATCAAGAAGAAAACAACAGTCAAGGATCAGGTAATCAGGCTGAGGTAGGAAGGAGGGAAAATCACAAGAAACGACCAAAAAGTATGTGAGGAGCTCAACATAAGATTTAAAGAAGTGTTCACAGAAGAGACAGAAGGGACTCCAGAAAGACAGAGAGTGGGGTACACCATCAACTGTTGGACACAATACATACAACCGAGAAAGAGGTTAAGAGGCTGCTAAGGGAGCTAGATACCTCAAAGGCGATGGGGCTGAATAACAACTCTCCATGGGTCCTGAGAGAGGGAGCAGAGGCACTGTGTGTGCCACTAACAACAATCTTCAACACATCTATCGAAACAGGGCGACTACCTGAGGAATGGAAGGCAGCAAATGTAGTCCCAATCTTTAAAAAAGGAGACAGACACGAAGCATTAAACTACAGGCCAGTGTCACTGATATGTATAGTATGCAAAGTCATGGAGAAGATTATCAGGAGAAGAGTGGTGGAGCACCTAGAAAGAAACGAGCTCATCAACGACAACCAGCACGGTTTCAAGGACGGGAAATCCTGTGTCACAAACCTACTGGAGTTGTGTGATAGGGTTACAGCAGTAAGACAAGAGAGAGAAGGGTGGGTAGACTTGCATTTTCTTGGACTGTAAGAAGGCTTTTGACACAATTCCACAAAAGAGATTAGTGCATAAGCTGGAGGACCAGGCAGGTATAACGGGGAAGGCACTGCAATGGATCAGGGAATACCTGTTGGGCAGACATCAGTAAGTCATGGTATGTGACGAGCAGGGTTCCACAGGGATCAGTCCTAGGACCAGTGCTGTTCCTGTTATGTGTGAACCACATGATGGAAGGAATACTCAGAAGTGTCCCTGTTTGCAGATGATGTGAAGTTGATGAGAAGAATTCAATCAGATGAGAACCAGGCAGAACTACAAAAGGATCTGGACAGGCTGCAGGCCTGGTCCAGAAACTGGATCCTAGAGTTCAACCCCACCAAGTACAAATTCATGAAGACTGCGGAAGGGCAAAGAAGACCGCAGATGGAGTACAGTCTAGGAGGCCAGAGACTACAAACCTCACTCAAGGAAAAGGATCTCGGGGTGAGTATAACACCATGTACATCTCCTGAGGTGCACATTAACCAAATAACTGCTGCAGCATATGGGCACCTAGCAAACCTAATAATTGGATTCCAACAATAAGGAATTGTTCAGGACCCTGTACACCATATATGTCAGGCCTATACTGAAGTATGCAGCACCAGTTTGGAATCCACACCTAGCTAAGCATGTAAGGAAATTAAAGAAAGTGCAAAGATTTGCAACAAAAATAGTCCAGGAGCTATGGGGCATGTCTGACAAGGAGGGAAATCAACCTAACGACACTGGAGGACAGAAGAGATATGGGGGATATGATAACAACATATAAAATACTGAGAGGAATCGACAGGGTAGAAAGAGACAGGATGTTAGGGAGCATTTCTTTAGTCAAAGAGTTGACAGGAAGTGGAACAGTCTGGCAAGTGACGTAGTGGAGGCAGGAGCCATACATAGTTTTAAGACAAGATATGATAAAGCTCATGGAGCAGGAAGAGAGAGGACCTAGTAGCAATCAGTGAAAAGGCGAGGCCAAGAATATGTATCAACCCCTGCAACCACAAACAGGTGAGTACACACGCATTTTTTACCACAACAGCCATTGAGGCAGGGTGACTAAAAAAAAATGAAGAAACAAACTTTTTCTTCTTTTTTCAACAAACTGGCCATATCCCACCAAGGCAGAGTGGCCCAAAAAGAAAAATGAAAGATTCTGTTTTTACATTTAATAATTTATACAGGAGAAAGGGTTACTAGTCCCTTGCTCCCAGCATGTTAGTTGCCTCTTATGACATGCATGACTTATGGAGGAAGGATTATTTTCCACTTCCCCACGGAGATGAAAGGAAATAAGAACAAGAACTATTAAGAAAATAGAAGAAAACTCAGATGGGTGTGTACACATATATGTGTACATGCATGTGTAGTGCGACATCAGTGTAAGCAGAAGTAGCAAGATGTACCTGTTATCTTGCATGTATATATGTAAGCTCTTTAAAATGATGGAATAGCTTGAAATAGATGTAGCACGAGTTATCAAAATAGTAGTGCACAATAAGTGATGCCTGTTATTTTTTTTTTTTTATTATCACACTGGCCGATTCCCACCAAGGCAGGGTGGCCCGAAAAAGAAAAACTTTCACCATCATTCACTCCATCACTGTCTTGCCAGAAGGGTGCTCTACACTACAGTTTTTAAACTGCAACATTAACACTCCTCCTTCAGAGTGCAGGCACTGTACTTCCCATCTCCAGGACTCAAGTCCGGCCTGCCGGTTTCCCTGAACCCCTTCATAAATGTTACTTTGCTCACACTCCAACAGCACGTCAAGTATTAAAAACCATTTGTCTCCATTCACTCCTATCAAACACGCTCACGCATGCCTGCTGGAAGTCCAAGCCCCTCGCACACAAAACCTCCTTTACCCCCTCCCTCCAACCTTTCCTAGGCCGACCCCTACCCCGCCTTCCTTCCACTACAGACTGATACACTCTTTAAGTCACTCTGTTTCGCTCCATTCTCTCTACATGTCCGAACCACCTCAGCAACCCTGTTATGCCTGTTATGATTAGATTTACTATAATAAATTCTGGATTTCACACTGCAAACCAGACACAGGCATAAATGACATTCCTTAGCTTTACATACCTAGGGCCAGGACATGGGTAGCAAGTAGTGACTGTGAAGGTGTCTTCCAAAGTTGCAGCATCAAAAACAGCCAATTTCTCCGGAAATGCAATGACAACAACATTTTTGTTTGCATGGATGTCATGTACAGGATGTTTGAATTTTATAGTTTTCACCTAAAAATACAGAAATTATTTTTTTAATTGTCATAAGCTGAAGTAGTATCAAAATGAATATTAGACACTGAAAAATATATTAAATTAGTGACCTCTGTTCACAATCACCTTGGGAAGCACACCACCTATGAACAAATTTGATGTTATTTTTTCATCTGAAAATTTATTTGTTTGGCTTGATTTCCACCTCAGTCCCTTCAAAAATATGATAATTTCCCTGTCTAACTTTAGGTTATACTTCAAGTTCGCTTTCTGAAATTCATAGTTTTATCACTTTCCATAACTATATTTATTAATATTATATTTAAGAGGAAGACTTAACCAGTATGTGTCATGCAGCAGCCAGGAATGAGAAGTAATCACGTTTGACTGAGGAAGATAGTATCTCCAATTCCTTGGTTTATGAGCCCTCCACCAGCATCAGAGAACCCCTTATAATCAGACATCCATTCATTTTTGCTCGTGCTTCCCTCTTTTAACATCAGATGTGGTCTACAAACTTAATGTTTTCATGAAAATATATATAAAAAAAATTTATGTACATACCTGTTCACCCGTTTTCAGAGAAATAAATGAAACAGTACAGAACTGAGGGCCAGGTCCAGCAGTATCACAGAGTGCAATAATTGGCCGCTTAAGGGAGTAATGATCTACGGTGCTAGCAGAAGTGGAGGGAGTTGGAAGGACCTTAAGAGTCCGTACAGCTCCCTGGCGCCATGATAAAACTTCCATAGCCTCTCCATTGACTGGTATCACCCAAGCCTGAAAAACTACTGTAATGCCATCCACATTTTCCTGGGGTGTTTGTACATGGTTATACCATTAACATAAGTTGAACACTTCTTTGCTAACTACAATTCCAAAAACTGCATTCACTATAAATGGCTTAGAAGTATTGTAACTCATCAGCAGAGACAGTACAAAAAAGTAGAAATGCACGGTATCAAACATATTCTAGGTAAGAGAGGTTGCTTATTGGATATACTGTACTGCAGAAGATAATTACAAAATATACATATTTACTTTTTACAAAAGAATACATAAAAAGCAAAGAAGAATATAAATTATTGTTTGCAATCCTTAATTTATTTAGTATATTAGTACTGTAATAATGTAAGTTTCATACCTGTACACCACATACATATCCTATAATGAGAAGAAGAGGCGGAGAATTTCCATTAACTTCTATCTTGTCACGAAATCGTGCTAAGTCATTAATGTCACAATAATCAAATCGCACCCACAAGATGGTTTCTTTGCCTTCATAGTGTGATGGATTGCTATAAGTCTGCGGTGCCACCTAAAAATAAATATGTATTATATAAATGAAAAATACTGAACGACAACATGAATACAGCCTCTCCTCACTTAGTGATGTACTTGTTTACCAATGACTCGGACTTACAACAGGCTCCCTCACCAGTATGCATACCTAAATATGTACATTAGAGCTGATTTCCTCTATTCTGTTTATTACAATATACAGTATACAGTGGTACCCCAAGTTTCATACAGCTCCCAACTTGAACAATTATGTAAGTGTATTATTCTAAGTGCTTTTGTAAGTGTATTTTTGGGGTCTGAAATGGACTAATCTAATTTATATTATTCCTTATTTGAACAAATTCATTTGGTAATGGCACTCGAACAGCCTTCCGGGACGAATTATGGCCAAACTCGGGGTACCGCTGAACTACTACATAAACATTTAAAAATATACAGAAATGTTATAAATGGTGCAAAGGTGACAGTAAAACAATATAAAAAATAAACCATACCACGGACGAGGATAGAACCCACAATCAGAGAGCCTCATTACGATTTCCTGAGTCAAGTTGATATAAAAAATGATTTACACAAACCCACTACCATTTCAGTATGCTCCTCACATAGCGACGAATTCGTTTACTAACGTGGTCTTAGGGACAGAACTCCATCATTATGTGAGGAGAGGCTGTATACAAAATGTACATACAGCTTTATCTTTTATTTTTTTTATTAACACATCGGCCATCTCCCACCAAGGTAGGGTGGCCTGAAAAAGAAAAACCTTCATTATTCACTCCATCACTGTCTTGCCAGAGGTGCGCTTACACTACAGTTATAACACTGCAACATTAACACCCCTCCTTAGAGTGCAGACACTGTACTTCCCATCTCCAGGGCTCAAGTCTGGCCTGCTGGTGTCCCTGAATCCCTTCATAAATGTTACCTTGCTCACACTCCCACAGCACGTCAAGTCCTAAAAACCATTTGTCTCCATTCATTATCTAACAAGCTATGCAAGCTTGCTGGAAGACCAAGCCCCTTGCAAACAAAACCTCCTTTACCCCCTCCCTCCAACCTTTCCTAGGCCGACCCCTACCCCGCCTTCCCTCCACTACAGATTTATACAGTCTTGAAGTCATTCTATTTCCTTCCATCCTCTCTACATGTCCGAACCACCTCAACAACCCCTCCTCAGCCCTCTGAATAATAGTTTTGGTAATCCCGCACCTCCTGGTAATTTCCAAACTACAAATTTTCTGCATTATATTCACACCACACATTGTTGTTGAGACATGACATCTTCACTGTCTCCAGCCTTCTGGAGGCAGTGGAGATTTAACATGGCTTAATTTTCTATGATAACACAAAAAGTACATTATGAATACATACTACAATCATTTTAACAAACTTTACCATATAAACAAAATGCATTTTTTTTAACCCTTTGACTGTTTACGCCGTATAAATACGTCTTACGCGCCACTGTTTCTGACGTATATATACAGTAACCCCCGGTTAACGATATTTTTTCACTCCATAAGTATGTTCAGGTGCCAGTACTGACCGAATTTATTCCCATAAGGAATGTTGTGAAGTAGATTAGTCCATTTCAGACCCCCAAACATACACGTACAAACGCACTTACATAAATACACTTACATAATTGGTCGCATTCGGAGGTAATCGTTATGCGGGGGTCCACTGTACTCAATAATTCTAGCGGCTTCAAATCAAGCGGAAGAAAGCTGGTAGGCCCACATGTGAGAGAATGGGTCTGTGTGGTCAGTGTGCACCACATAAAAAAAATCCTGCAGCACACAGTGATTAATGAGAAAAAAAAAACTCTGATCGTTTTTTTGGATTAAAACGCCGAATTTGAGGTGTACAGTATTTTCGTATAGTATTTATCATGTATTTGCGTTTTCATGGTCTTAGGTGATAAAATGGAGAACATATTACAGAAATAGAGATGATTTTCATTACTTGGATGATGAAAACGACCTTGACACTGAGCTTAAAGTAGCGGAAATGTTCGATTTTTACCAATGTTCAGGAGTAAACAAATCACACCACACATCCAATACACGTCAACTGGGGAGTCTAATATTCTTTCACTAGTGCACTGATATTATTTATACCATTTTTACAATAATGCAGTAGTCTGCATAACAGTAAATTTTATATTTTTTTGTATGAATAAAAAATCAAAATAGAAAGCAATAATAATATAAGAGGGGCCTAGTGATGTGACTAATGAATGGAGGATATGTTATTTTAGTGCCAAGAATGTCTACCTTGTTTATTCTGGACCCTATTTTGAAATTGGCATCTTTTTTAGTTTGCGTGAAATTGGCCAAATTGCCAATTTCTGACCACTATATTGGGTAGTCCAAATTGCTAAATGGGAGGTTTCTTGTACTCAGCTGATAGATAAAATGGAGTTCTAAAGAAATAGCTATGAGTTTGGTCAACTGGAACAACGAAATTGGCTGAAAATAGGGCTCAAAGTCGGCGAAATCGCCGATACGCATATGTCGCCGAGACCGCTAACTTCGTGGGAGCGTAATTCCATGAGTTTTCGACCAAATTTCGAACTTTTGGTGTCATTACCATCGGGAAAAGATTCTCTATCATTTCATAAGAAAAAATAATTTTTTTTTTTTTTCAAAAATTTATCGACATAGAATGACAGTTTCAGAAAGGGGCCTGAAACAGTCAAAGGGTTAAACATACCAGCCACATCCCACTGAGGCAGGGTGACCCAAAAAAGTAGAAAACTATAGTTTATCTTCTTTTTACATTTAGTAATTTATTCATAAGGGATTACTAGGCTTTCTTTCCAACAATTGAGTTGCCTCTTACAAAGGGGTTTAGCTATGTTTACACATCCACAAATTTTTTTTGACAGAATGAGATGCATTGCAAAGTGGATGTACTGTACAATATTAAAAACAGATGGATGAATTTGGTAGGGCGTGCAAAAGAAAATTAAAAGTGAATACAGGAAAGAGTAAGGTTATGAGGATAATAAAAAGATTAGGTGATGAAAGATTGGATATCAGATTGGAGGGAGAGAGTATGGAGGAGGTGAATGTATTCAGATATTTGGGAGTGGACGTGTCAGCGGATGGGTCTATGAAAGATGAGGTGAAACATAGAATTGATGAGGGGAAAAGGGTGAGTGGTGCACTTAGGAGTCTGTGGAGACAAAGAACTTTGTCCTTGGAGGCAAAGAGGGGAATGCATGAGAGTATAGTTTTACGAACGCTCTTATATAGGTGTGAAGCATGGGTGATGAATGCTGCAGCAAGGAGAAGGCTGGAGGCAGTGGAGATGTCATGTCTGAGGGCAATGTGAGGTGTGAATATAATGCAGAGAATTCGTAGTTTGGAAGTTAGGAGGAGGTGCGGGATTACCAAAACTGTTGTCCAGAGGGCTGAGGAAGGGTTGTTGAGGTGGTTCGGACATGTACAGAGAATGGAGCGAAACAGAGTGACTTAAAGAGTGTATCAGTCTGTAGTGGAAGGAAGGCGGGGTAGGGGTCGGCCTAGGAAAGGTTGGAGGGAGGGGGTAAAGGAGGTTTTGTGTGCGAGGGGCTTGGACTTCCAGCAGGCATGTGTGAGCGTGTTTGATAGGAGTGAATGGAGACAAGTGGTTTTTAATACTTGACATGCTGTTGGAGTGTGAGCAAAGTAACATTTATGAAGGGGTTCAGGGAAACCGGCAGGCTGGACTTGAGTCCTGGAGATGGGAAGTACAGTGCCTGCACTCTGAAGGAAGGGTGTTAATGTTGCAGTTTAAAAACTGTAGTGTAAAGCACCCTTCTGGCAAGACAGTGATGGAGTGAATGATTGTGAAAGTTTTTCTTTTTCGGGCCACCCTACCTTGGTGGGAATCGGCCAGTGTGATAATAATAATAATAAATTATAGTCAAGCTAGATCATGCAAAAATTGGGCTGCCAGGAGGCCTTTCTGCTATTCAAGGGAGTTTCTGAATAAAAACAAGTCATCATAAGTGGAAGGACATAAAATACAGTAATGTATATAATAAATAAAAGAGGGTGAAATAAATATGAAGACAATGCTATTTATTGCCATACATGCATACACATTATCATGTATTCTATTCACTCATCATCTCTGTTACTTTTTCTTATTTTGATTCATGCAGTATAAAAATCACTTCTTCCACTTAATCACTGAATACAGTGGACCCCCGCATAACGATATTAATCCGTTCATGAGAGCTCATTGTTATGCGAAATTATCGTTATGCGAATGAATTTTCCCCATAAGAAATAATGGAAATCAAATTAATCCGTGCAAGACACCCAAAAGTATGAAAAAAAAAATTTTACCACATGAAATATACATTTTCCTACACAGAAAGAGAAGGATACATGCACAATAGTAGAGTAGTACATGCACAGTATATATTGTGCATGTACTACTCTACTAAATGAAGAATAAATGACACTTACCTTTATTGAAGATGCAGCAATGACTGATGAGACACTGTGTCCTGGGAGTGCCTTTTCCTCCTGAGTACTGTAGGTCCTGTTTGGCATTTTCTTCCAGAACAGGCCTTATCACACTGTATGCCACTACGATTCTTAAATCTCTCAAACCAACCTTTGCTGGCTTTAAATTCACCAATATGAGCACTAGTTCCAGGCGTTTTTCCTGTTCACCTGGGTGTTAGTCGACTGGTGTGGGTTGCATCCTGGGAGACAAGATTAAGGACCCCAATGGAAATAAGTTAGACAGTCTTCGATGACACACTTTTTTGGGTTATCCTGGGTGGCTAACCCTCTGGGGTTAATTGTTTCTTGGTATTCTCAAGAAGCCACACCAACAACGGTGCTACAGCAGCAGCAGCATCAGCAGTTGACCATGGTGCCACAGTATTTCGATAATATTTCTCACCCTTTTTACCACAGGGTTGGCACTAGAAGCTTTCTTGGGGCCCATGGTCACTTATTTTGCATATAAAATCACCAAAAACACTGTAATAATATGAAATGTTACGATTGTATGCTTGGATGTTACCGCGGAGGCTGGCTTGTAAACAATGCCACCGGCGGAACACGTGAGGCTGGCTCAGGCTGCACATTAGACGCATCTCGGACGAACAGCGTTGAGCAGGTTTTTTAGCGGTATGCGAGGCAAAATCTTAGCAATAAAATGTATCGGTATGCGGATTTAACGTTATGTAAGGCCAACGGTATGCGGGGGTCCACTGTATACATTCATACAACCATACAGCCTCTCACACACTTCATATGCAGTACTTTACAAATTTAACTAATATGATCAAGCTTTAATTATCTAACATGGTACAGAAGACATTTGCACAATACTTTAAACTTACCTCATTTATGAACCCTGCTACATTCTCAACGAAAGTTTTCTCAACCACAGGTTCAGGACGAACCTGCTGGCCCACTGAAGGTCGTGAACCACGTCCACTTTCACCAGACATGGCTGATGACATGACCAGTCCCCTGTTAAGCGCAAAACTGTTATGCAAGAAGTTCATTACAGTTCATTTCAACACCTGGCCCTGGATATGATTCCCTAGACTATTACCCAGGCACTGAGCAGTGTAGAATACTGGTATAAGTGAAATTTGACAACTACCATCAGCCCATTAGCTCTAGGGACACTTGCTAATATTAAGCATATAATTAAGGATACCAACAGTATAATAAAAAAAGATTAAGCAGATATATTAAAAGTAATTTGAAATTTTTTTGAGAACTCTGTTAGAATGGGTTCCTGATCCCAATATGCTATGCTGGGTGAATTACCAATCTTTACATGGAATACTTCGAGACTGTTCTTCTTCCTACCATCGATGTGCGCCCTTCACTCTGTCTCCGCTATGTTGATGACATCTTTGCTCTGTGGCCTCATGACTCCAGTCTCTTCCAACCTTTTCTTGAAGCCCTTAATAATCTTGCCCCTTCCATTAAGTTTAAAGCTGAATGGGAATCTAATTCCTTGCTTCCTTTCCTTGATGTCCATGTCCACCACTCAGATACAGGTTTTTCCTTTTCCGTTTACCGCAAACCTATGCACAGTGGCATGTACATTCACTACTTTTCCTATCATGCTTCCCCTGTCAAGAAAAGTGTTCTTATTTCCCTCTTTCTCCATGCCCTCCGCATCTGTGATCCTCAGTTCCTTCCAGCAGAAATTTCCACTCTACATAATTCGTTTTCCCGTCTTGGCTACCCTTCCCATTTCATAGACTCTGCCCTCTCAAGTGCTAAACGTAATTTCTTCTCTCCCAAACTTTCTACTCCTGGGAACTCTTCTGTCCTCTGCCTTCCCTACATTTCCGGTCTTTCTAATCTCAACAATTCTCTCCGTCCCTTAGACATCAAGCTTACTTTCTGCCAGACTAATACTCTTCGCACTAATCTCGTGCATACCTCTCCTCCCTCTACAGATGTTCCTGGTGTCTACTCTATTTCTTGTTCCTCCTGTCCTCTTCAATACTTTGGAGAAACTGGTTGATCTCTTTCTGCCAGACTTAGGGAGCACCAAAATAGTGTTAGGCTTGCCAATACTAACAATGCTCTGTTCTGTCACATCAGAGATCACAGCCATCCTATTGATTGGTCTTCTGCTAAAACTGTCTTCCCTACTTCCAACTTTAACAGTCACTGTCTAGTTGAATCCTCTCTAATACACAATTTTCCTTGTATGAATCTTAGTCCTGGCTTCGTCTCTGTAGATGCCTTCCTCTCCCACTACATTGTAAAATGCTCCCAACTTCAGAACACCCGTGACTTAACCTGATTCCTCCTTTTTTCTTCTTCTCCCTCTTCCCCTTTCCTCTTTCCCTTTTTCTCCTCTGGGTTGTCTTTCTTCTGTCTCATGTTTCTGTTCCTTCATTATTTATTTCATCACTTCCCCTTCTTCCCCACCTCTGTGTACTTGCTCTCCCTCTGTGGGCACTTAGTTCTCTTGCAGTGCTCCCCTTTCTTTGTATTTGACTGGCTCGTCCTCCTTATTCCCCACTACCGCCACCGCTGCCGCCGCCACCACCGCCACCACCTCTTCTTGCCTATATATACCCCTTCCTGCTCTACTTCTCTTTAGTGTGACTTTGTAAATGGTCCAAGTCGGACCGAAACGTCGTCGTAAGCTCCTCTCTTCTATGTGAGGGTTATTTGTGTACCAATAGACCCCTGGCTGTCTTCAAGAGGAAGCTGGAGAGATACCTAAAATCAGTACCTGACCAGCTGGACTGTGGTTCGTATCTGGCAGAAGCAGCCTGGTTGATCAGGCCAATCCACTGCGAGGCCTGGTAATGGGCTGGGCCATGGGAGCGTTCACCCCTAGAACATCCTCCAGGTAGACTGGCATGGTTATGGCAGCAATTCAAGGACAATTTTATTTCCTGCCAAAATTAGGTGGATACTGTTTTGAAAATAGTGTTGATCCATAACATACTGATAATGATACAGTAAAACCAATGGACCTCTCTCCATTGGACCGCACTCCAACCTTCCCAAAAGGATGGGAGGACCCCAGATGAAACAAGCCACACTGTTTATGACATGGCTGTTGTGGGTGTCTCATGACTCAGTTGGTACCCACCTCAGCTTGCACACTGAGGGACCAGGATTTGATTCCCTGCACGAGTAGAAACACTGGTCACATTTCCTTATACCTGCTGCCCCTGTTCACCTAGTAACTGATAGGTACCTGGGTGTTAAACAAAAGGTGTGGGTCACTTCCTTGGGGAGAAGACTGAAGGATTTCATTGGAGATAAGACAGTCCTCAATGACAACCTGATTTTACTGGGCTACACTGGCTTACTAACCCTCTTGGTTAGGTTAGGTTAGGTTAGGTTAGGTTAGGTTAGGTTAGGTTAGGTTAGGTTAGGTTAGGTTGCCCATCGGTCAACCATGACTCGATCCAGGAAGTATTTCCTCCTATATCATGTGTTGCGACTTTCACCCTCAGTCTCCTGTGTGGGGCCCTATCAATGGCCTTACCAAAGTCCATACATACACAATACTGTATTCCTTATCTTGGTCTATTGCCTCAAACACCTTGGGAAAAAAAAAGATAGAAAATTCATAAGAAGGAAGATTCCCTTTGTAAAACCATATTGAGATTCATAGACAAAATTATATCTTTCAAGGCATTTTCAAATGGCATTTACGAACATAAGAAAGAAGGAACACTGCAGCAGGCCTACTGGCCCATGCAAGGCAGGTCCAAGTCTCCTACTGGCTTAAGCCTAGTCAGGTCAGGTCACATCCACTTAAGGAGTGCAGCATTCAAATCTACGAACTTATCTCCCACCTTGTAAATAGGTATCACATTTCCCCATTTTCCACTTGTCTAGTACAACACTCATTTATAGTGATTTACTGAAGACACTTGATAATGGTTTGCTAGGTTCCTCTTAAGACTCCTCTTGAACTTGCAAAAACAGCTATATGGATTAGATGACTTTAGATTCAATCTATAAAGTTGTCTGAAGACCATATCACACAACTATGACCTTGAAAAATTTATTATAGTACTGACTTGCATAATTATTGATCTCCAGGATTTCATATATATTTTCATGTAAAAACTGAGTAAACAGGTTTTAAAAATGGTACACATTTCTTTGTCATTAACAGTAAGATGACCTGAGCTATTTTAAATGGGCCTATCTTTTCCCTAATCTAATGCCTTTATGCCTTAAAGAAACTTTTTGGATTAGTATTTGATTCCCTTACAACCTTAATTTCATATTTTCTCTTGGCTTTCATTATATATTTTTTCCATTTAAATCGATATTGGTCAATAAGTTGACCCTCTCCTCATATTCGTCTGTAAATTTTTTTTTTTTTTTACCTTAGGGGATGTTTAAGTTTATTGTTCATCCATTCAGAAGCGTTTGTTCTAATTAGGGATATACGCAGCCTGGGCGGCGACTTCCATTAATTTACTTTTTAGCACCTCAACGGAAGTAGGTTCCATGATGGTGTTATATGGTTCTTGATCCAAGTTAATGGACCTGCTCTCTCATTCCTTGAATCGTACCTGACTGCCTCCCATTCCATACGTGTTATATGAAGAGTTTAGCATTTTCCCCTAAATATAATAGTAAAGATAATAATCTGCTTTTTCAATCGGCACTGAACTGACAGGTCCATCAGAACATTTAGACGTAATAAATGTAAATAGGGTAAGTGGTACCGCGTATCACGTGTTAATACCTGGTTGACAGCTCCCCACACAAGCAGTAACTTGCATCATCCATACAAAACAAAGGATTCCCAGTCAACCTACGTCACACAATAATGGTCCTTTCTCACTTCTTACATTATTTTGGCTAGTAAATGAAGGCAATCGGGCAATATTTACCTATTGTCTACCAAGTTCTCATAGCATCACATGTACGAAGCACCAGACAACGGAAAAAAAAGCGAAATAAACGCAATTTTCCTGCGTTTTTCCTACTGCGTCGCACCAGCGTCAGCTGATCTTTGTTTTGTTTGTTACTTTAGTTGTGAATATCGACGCTAGAGGGACGCTGCACCAACATATATTTATTTATATTTTTAATTTTCTCTTTCTTTTTAATATATACATAGAGAATGACAACTTGTTTATTTTAAAACTCACTCCACTTCCCTAAATAAAACAATATTTGTTTGGCTTCAAACCTAATATACTACGTCTCTACGTAAGCTCTCAATTGTATCCTAGACAGACAGGTTGCCAAGATGCAAATCTCGTCCTGCTCAACACGTTTTCTGTTTACTTTCTTAAGATTATTATTATTATAATCAAAAAGAAGCGCTAAGCTACTTTCTTAAGAATATATTATAAATCAAAGAAGCCGCGCAATGAGGTGTATCTAATTTTAATAAAAGAAAGTAATTAAAAAAATTTCAGCTGAAATGCTGTGCATAACAAGAGGCTTTCTATAGCGTCAATAATGTCACCTATTCCTGAATTGTAAATTATGATTTGTAAAAATCAAGTTTTTATTTCAAATTTATAAGGGAGTACCTAGAGTTTCCCCTGAAGCAAGTTTATTATTATTATTATTATTATTATTATTATATATATATATATATATATATATATATATATATATATATATATATATATATATATATATATATATATATATATATATATATATATATAATATTATATATATATATATATACCTCAAGAGGGTTTGAGACCAGGCCTCATGGTGGATCAGGGTCTGATCAACCAGGCTGTTACTGCTGGCCACACGCAAGCTGACGTACGAACCACAGCCCGGGCTGTGGTTCGTAAATCACACCCAAAATTAGTTTTTCTCGGCCCTCGAGAAGCTGTAACCAAACAGATTCAGTGGCTGACGTTTCTAATTTAATATCTTGTCTAACACAACAATTTAAATTGTCTCTGACATACATCGCTACTCCACCACCTTTCCTGTTGACCCTGTCAGTGTGGAATAATTTATAGCCTTGTATGTGACATTCAGAGGGCATCTCTCTATCTTTCAGATTGAGCCAGGTCTCTGTTATAGCAATAATATCTATGTTTCCTGCACTTGCAATTAATCTTAGCTCATCTATCTTATTTCTTACACTCCTGCTATTAGTATAGTAAACCTTAAGGGAGCTAGTCCCTTGCTGCCCTCTGCTGTCCCCCTTTGTTTGCTGACCTGATCTATTGTCTTTATTTATAACTTCATGCTGAATGCCTTTTATACATTTACTGTTTCCAACCCAAGTGTTGCAACCTGCTTGTTTCCCACACACACCCATACCTCTATCTTCCATCAGTTTAAAATCATAGGCATTTCACCAATGGCCTTCTCAATCGAGTCTGCAAGTGCTACCACCCCAGCCCCAGAGAGATGTACCCCATCCCTTGCATACATATCATGTTTGCCATAAAAGTTGTTCCAGTTGTCAATGAATGGGATTGCAAGTTCCTTGCAGTATCTGTCTAGCCAGCAATTTACACCAATTGCCCTAGACAACCATTCATTTCCTACTCCCTTCTAGGCAAGATGCTACATATGATTGGGATCCCTCCCTTAGACTTAATGAAATCTATAGCTGACCTGTACTTATCTAGCAGCTCTTCTCTCCTACCCTTCCCAATATCATTTCCACCAGCACTGAGACAGATAATGGGCTTGTTCCCATTACCTGACATGATATTATCCAGCCTGTTGACAATGTCCCCAACACCAGCTCCAGGGAAGCACACTCTATCTCTCATCTTCTTATTCCTATTACAAAAAGCACGGTCAATATATCTTACCTGAGAGTCACCAACCACAAGAATGCGCTTACCTCCATTAGCAGGGGCAGTAGTACCCTTACCTTCACTGGCCACTGAAGTACATTCATCCTGAAGAACAGAGAAGCGATTTCCTACCTTCAGATCTACACTCTTAACTTTCCTTACTCTGATGCGCCTTCCATTACTGTGAACCACTCGCCACTTGTAGCAGGTGCTGGACTGCACCTCACTGCTGGTAGCCGTTGCTACCTCCCCAACTACAGCCTCCTCACAGCGAGAGACAGACTGCACCTCACTGCTAGAAGCCTCATTCCCCACAACTCCAGCCACCTCACACTCTCTCCCAGACCCATTGAGGTGGACCTTCAGCCTCCTAATCTCCTCCTGGAGAAGCAAGAGCTTTTTACCGTGGCTGCCTGGGACTTTACTCTGTTTACTATTACTCTTGTATTCTGTTTGTCATGAAGTTGTAGATCCATCTATCAACTTTTCCCGTTATTCCTTTATCCCACATTTTGTGTGCTATTACACCATGGTAACACTTGTCGAAAGCTTTTGCAAAGTCTGTGTATACTACATTGTATTTTGTTCATCCTCTACAGCATCCAGGACCTTGTCACAGTGGTCCAGTAGTTGGGATAGACAGGAGCGACCTGCTCTAAACCCGTGTTGCCCTGGGTTGTGTAATTGATGGGTATCTAGGTGGTTGGCTATCTTGCTTCTTAGAACCCTCTCAAAGATTTTTGTGATATGGGATGTTAGTGCTATCGGTCTGTAGTTCTTTGCAATTGCATTACTGCCACCTTTGTGAAGTGGGGCTATGTCTGTTGTTTTTAGTGTGTGGGATGACCCCTGTGTCCATGCTCCCTCTCCATAAAATGCTGAAGGCATGCGATAGGGACTTCTTGCAATTCTTGATGAACACGGAGTCCAGTCCCTGGACCAATTATGTACCTCTGTAATCTTTTGACTACCGCCCACAGGATGGGTATGGGGTGCATAATAAACATATTAAACTAACTAACACGGAGTTCCACGAGTCTGGGCCTGGGGCAGAGTGCATGGGCATGTCATTAATTGCCTCTTCAAAATCTTGTGGAGTTAGAATAATATCCGAGAGTTTTGGGATGACCAAATTTTGGGTTTCGATCCTTAGAGTGGGCAGTGGATCGCTGAACACTGAGTCATATTGGGACTGTAGTATCTCACTCATTTCTTGGCTATCATCTGTATATGTCCCATCCCGTCTAAGCAGGGGCCCAATACTGGATGTTGTTTTTCCCTTATATTTGGCATAATAAAAGTTTTTTTTCAATTTCCTTTATGGCTTTTAGTTCTTCCTGTGATTCTTGTCTCCTACAAGATTCCTTCAGCTTAAATTTGATATTTGCAATTTCATTGACTAGTGCCTCCCTTCGTATTTCAGATATATTGACCCCACTCAGCAGCTCTGTGACTCTTCGCCTTCATCTGTATAGGGAACGTCTCTCTCTAGTTTACATCTCTTTTTCTTAATGGAATGTGTCTTGAGCAGATCTCAAGAACCACAGAATTCATTTTTTTCAAGGCAAATGTTCGGATCCATGTTGTTTAGGATATCTTCCCAGCTTGTTTTATTTAGGACATGGTTTACTTGATCCCATTGTATGTTTTTGTTATTGAAATTGAATATCGTGAAGAGACCTTCATGACTGCTCACATTTTGCTGGTCTGGAGCCCTGTGCATACATGTCTGTAGCTCTATTATGTTGTGATCTGAGTGAATTGTCTTTGATACAGTTATATTATCAGATCATCATTGTTAGTGAAGATGAGGTCCAGCGTATTTTCTAGTCTTGTAGGCTCTACTATTTGCTGGTTTGAGGTGAATTTGTTCATGTGTGTGAATTTTCATCTGAGCTGCCTCCCGGGCACCTATACTCCTCCATTTTAGGTGTCTCAGGTTGAAATCTCCTAGTAGTAAGATGTTTGGGGCAGGAGTTGGGAGATTTTCCAGTCAGTGGTCAATTTTCTCAAGCTGCTCCTGGAATTGCTGGGAAGTTGCATCTGGAGGCTTGTATACTACCACATTGACAAGATTTTGGTTTTCGATCTTTACCGTCAAAACTTTAGCTACATCATTTGAGGTGTTTAGTAGTTCTGTGCAAATGAGTGACTCTGACATACAGGCCAATCCCCCCCTTGTTGCCTGTTTAGGCTGTCGCATCGGAATAGGTTATAATCTGGGATCCATATTTCTTGGTCATAATGATCCTTTATGTGGGTCTGTAAATGCTGCAAACATTGCATTTGACTCTGCGAGCAGTCCCTTGATGTAAGGAATTTTGTTTTTTGACGGCTTTAGACCCTGTATGTTTGCAAAGACAAATGTATTGGTGGATTATAGGGGGGGGGGTTATTTGCTGGCTCTAATATCTGTTGTTCTGGGGTAGAGGCCAATGTCCGTGCCTCTGCTCCATTATTATTATTATAATCAAGGGGAAGCGCTAAACCCGGAGGATTATACAGCGCCTGGGTGGGGGGATGTGGAAGGCATTCAGGCTTAATTCGGGGAACTGGAGCACAGATCCAATTCCCTAAATCAAGAGCCCCTCACCAACATCAAGGAACCTTCCTTGAGGGGCCTCTGCTCCAGAAGTGTTTTCAGGTGGTGTAGGATTATTGTCATTTCTTGCCAGTCTTTTTTCCCTTCTGGCCCTGAAAAACCTGTCCCTGGAGAGGTTGTGGCTCCTCTCTTTTGTTTCTCATAGTCTGACTGGTCTGCCTTCTAGTCCCCTTTAGATGTGCCTGGCAGTATGCATTGTAGTATTTTCTTTTATGGATTGAAGAGTGACACATTTCTAGGTGAAATAAGTTACAAGAAGGGAAGTTGCACTCTCCTGTTTTCATATGGGTGCGGCATTTTTCGGGATGGTCAAAGGTGCATGTGTTCCCTGTATTACCAGATATACCGTGTCTGCAGATACCCAAGGCGTAGTATTTACATAGGTTGTACTTCTGTTTGCTAGGATTTATTGTAGCTGCTTT